GGAGAGAGAGAGAGAGAGAGAGAGAGAGAGAGAGAGAGAGAGAGAGAGAGAGAGAGAGAGAGAGAGAGACCATTTTTCTTATCATCGATACTGAGAGAGAGAGACCATTTTCTTATCATTGATACTGAGAGAGAGAGAGAGAGAGAGAGAGAGAGAGAGAGAGAGAAAGAGAGACCATTGTTTTATTATTGATACTGCGACATCATGTAAGTCACCAACCTTTTTGCTCAGGCGACACGAATTCGCATAGTCATTAAAATGATAAAAAAATAAAATAAAGATCATCACCAAGAAATCCTTGGAAGTTACCTCCCCAACTATCTTTGCGAGAAGGTTGGCTACTGCGTGCCAATCAACTGGACAAGCGATCGGTCTTTGTGTTAAAATTGCACGCAGTAGTGAACTTTCCTTCGACACTTTCCTTCGACACTTTCCTTTTACACTCGGAACGACAATTCATGCCTTACAAAGTACTGCTATGTCTTCTATTTATGAGGCCTCTTAACGTTTTCGCTATGTGCGAGGCCGCGACTGTGCCGTGACCTTTTGCAACTCCAGCATAAGGCGCTAGCCGGTCCACCATGGACTGACGAAATTGGTGAACAGTTCTTTCGTTCACCTCTATTCTATTAACAACTTTTAGTATGTCCTTAGCTCTTACATCCGTTGGCGCGGTTCCTGCTAGAAATTGTATTACTCTGGCAGTGATGCAACATACATAAACACCACAGTCCGTGAAATTGTTCTGCTGCGGGCATTCCGCATGCAACAATTTACATCCTAGGAAATCTCTACATGTCACCCAGGACGTTTCAACATTTTTCGGAGTCAACACTCTCACGTTGGATGCCTCGTAGAGGTTCTCGTGCCACAGAAATGTTTGCAAGGCCTTCCATTCTTCTCGTTTCTTCCCTTTGAAGGAGTCAACAACGATGGCAATAGGAGGTTCGCCGACATTATTGTCCTCATTGACTGCCAAGAAGTCTCTCACATTCAGCAACAGAAGTAAAACCCAATGTTTGCCATGCTTCACAGGTATTACAGTAGCTGTCGTGCGTCACAATTCATTGCTTAGTCGATGCAACTTTCGTGGTCTGTTCTTGATCGCGTCTTCCCATCCGCTTTTCATCAAATGCAATTTTTGATTACCAATGATATGGGGGTGCCAGCAAGTTGTACACACATGGACTGTGAGGATGTTCCGGGACGGCGAGTCTTCTTCATACACAAACTGCAAAAAAATGTCGATAATGTTGTCGTTCAGCCATTCATTGTCGGTCAATCATGCAACGTCGAATTTTTTTACGAGGATGACATGTCTCCTTGATTTCCACGTGAAGGGGAATAATTCGTTCTCATCATTAATGTCTATCTTCTCTTCTCTCCTTCTGGTCATGTTCCCAAATTTCGCCTTTCCCTTAATGCTGGATGACTCTTCAATCATCAGTTGGGGAGACTTTACTTCACCCTCCGTCATCATATCGTACATTTTCTCGTACCAAGGGTCATTCAACATTTTCTTCCACCTCTTCACCGACCTCTCACTGCTCAGTGACAACTACGGTTCCTTTGCGACCTCTCTGCATGACTGTTCGTCGTTATTTTTTGTCCTGGGACTGGTCGTCGTTTCACCCCCCATATACGAACACTTCTTGCCGCCACCACCCGTGTTGCTTTTCTGTGACTCTGTCATGTTGGTCGGCTTCTCTTACCTACACTGTCTTATTCAGCGGCCACTGTCATTCCTTCCCGAACGGCGCGCGAGGTCCCAAGTTTGTCTTCCTGTTCACACGTGTCGGTTAAATTGGCATGACACACACGAATTGTTATGTTTTGGGGTACTTGCAATGATTTTTATAAAATACTTGAGAGAGAGAGAGAGAGAGAGAGAGAGAGAGAGAGAGAGAGAGAGTATTTCTTAGAAAACGCTTCTCTCTCTCTGTCTCTGTCGCTCGCATTTGAAGTGTCCTGTTCATAAGACGCTTCTCATAAGGTTTGCCACATTTGAAATGATTTCTATCAACGATTGACAGAAAGAAAGAGACAAATGTCATTTTTTGTTTCCCTCTCAGCTGGCACAAGAAAACGCTTCTCTCTCTCTGTCTCTGTCGCTCGCATATAACACCATAGCAAAACAAGACGAGCTTATCACAAGACGACAGATAGAGAGACATGTTTTTTTTTTTTTTTTTTTTACGTCTTTTAAAGACGCCTCTCTCTCTCTCTCTCTCTTCTCTCTCTCTCTCTCTCCCTCTCTCTCTCTCTCTCTCTCTCTCTCTCTCTCTCTCTTTCTCTCTCTCTACTACCTGTACCTCTCTCTCATGTGAGACCATAACAAAACAACATTCGTTTTTCACAGGGCGCTGTTCTCTAATAACAAAGTTAGAAACTTGTCATTTGTTTCTTCTACAATACATACTTGTTCACATAAAAACTGTCCTCACGTTGTTTTGCATGCTGCTTCGATCCCCATTTTGGTTTAGAGAAACATGGAACAATGTGAGCCGCGTCTACGATAGTGTCAGTTGATATGACGCTACTGTGTTGATGTTCATTCAACTTCTCCCATTTCAATTTCTTTCAACCTGTTATGTGTTGTCTTTCGCTGTCGACCTCTTTGTACCATTGCACAAATCCGCACCTGTGTTCAGCATTACTGCTGTTCGTGGGTGTGTTCACGACAAAAAACATGGCCACATATGCAAACCATGTGCATTCATTGCCTGCTCTAATTGTCACATCACTATGCACTGCTCTCCAATGAAACATTGGTGAAGCTCTTGCAGTTTGAACAAGCGTGCCCCTGTTTGTTTCATCCTGTACGCAGGCGATGACGAGGTGTATCCGTGTGTGTATGAGCAGTTGGTCAGAAGGAGGTTGACAACCATTCTCCACCATGTACGTCGTCAGTGCAGCTCGAAAATTGAGTCTGCAAGGAAGCTCTTTGAGTATCTTACACGCAAGGTTGTCAATGCCTTCTTCCTCTTGTATGTACTCGTCATCGATGTTGAACCACCGCAGTTGCAGAGTTGCTGTATCGCGTAGTGCCAGAGTATTCATTCCAGTCACCATACAGTCTGTCACGGATGACCGGTTCTCAACCGTTCTCTTCCTTTGTTTCCTTGCGATCTCTATCTCATCGCGCAATGCCAGTGACCGGCGTAGATGGTTCACCATCTGGGTTGAAGTTTTCCGCTTGTTTGATGACAGGTATGGTTGTTTGCAGAACTTCCTGTGGTGATGCTCCCAGACATCTGCTACGAAAGGTGTCAGGGACACCAGATCGCTCAATGCACGTTCTCGGATGCATGAGATCGCTCCATGTTGATGGTTGATATTTTTCTAGTTTTGCTTTGATAGTTGTTATGAAGTCCGTGATCAAAGCATCGCATTCATCGAGCGAAGCACGAGTTTGTGTTGTGCACCGAAACACACATATGTACATTTCCATTAGTTTCACAAAACAAATAGTAATGCCCTTGCCTATCGAGCGTGGGATAATATTACAAATAAGGAACACGCACACTGTCATCATAGACGAATTTTGCTTGGCCTAAAACCGTCCCTCCTTCGAAAAAAAGTCGCTGTCAGTGGCCACGGGCAGCATAAGTTGTGGGTATGTTCGGGAGCATCTCGCACTAACGCTTTGCAACCTTCCATCCAGTTCCTTCAGGATCTCTTTGTGTGGTAAGTGTGTCAGCTTCTCAAAGGCTGCGGTCCTAAATGTGTCAATCATGTGCAAGAATATGCCATGCTCGATTGTGTGCATACGGTCTGGTTGCAATGCCAGGTGGTAGTCTAACTGAGGATCATTATCATTGGGGCCCCTGTAGAATCCCTAAAGGCCGTTTTGTTGAACATGCTTATGCATGTTCAACTCTGACGTTCGTGCTTCAGCCGCACGGCGAATGTCGATGTCATTGGCGTTGAACACATCTGCTGTGAGTTGTGTTTCCAGCGTCTATGATCTCCTGCAGTTCGGGAAATCGGTCACGACATCAAAGTCGTTTTTTGACAAGGTGCACGTTGGACACACACTAAATTTCACAGTTGCAATCGCACATCTTTCTGGGTAGTCTTGTATATAGTTGAGGAGGAAAGGGTGGACAGTTATGTCTCCGAATCGCTCTGTCGGTATCATTATGTCATCATGAGATGCCTCCTTTGCAGACTACAACACCACTGCATGCAAAACGACACCCTTTCGTTTTCTGAATGCGCTGGACTTCATACCCCATCCTTTGTCACGTGGACGATGATGAAACACAGGAAGATAAGTCGGCAGTGTGGCTTCGGATGCGTGGTCGGCCAGTGACATTATCAGAGGGTACGCTGTCTGTTTTTGACGACCGTCTATATGTGTCTCATCGAAATACAATGAGAGAGGGATGACAGAACGTGAATTACCATTCCTATCCACACCTTTGTCCGCTCTAATGATTGTCTGGACGTGATAACTTAGCGCCCCGGTGCGCGGGCCGGATATGTTGAGGTGCTCTGACGGAGGAGACATTTCCAGAGAAGACACCGTCTCGCATTTCTGTAATGCGATTTGCAAAATCGACAGAAACGTCGTTTGCCAGTCGTGGTGCCACAAGATGGCGTGCGCATCTAGTGGCCAATCATCACATCGTAGATCAAGCTCTTGCTATCCAGCAACCTCTGCTTGACTGCCTGCCGATGTCAAACACTCTCAACTATTACGATATGCGATGTCTCTCGTGTTGAATCTTGGGTGTGTAAGAAGTGACAAGAGAACATCGAAGTCATTCTGCGACATACCGACGCCGCCCCTGGCAAAGAAAAACAGTGTTGCCAGCTTGCGAGAGCTGTCGAAATTCTCTACAGGCGGCAGTTACTGTTCTTCAAATGTCCCGCCCTCCGCCTCTACATTGTCGGGGGCCCCGACGTCCTCACTCTCATCACTGATGAGATTCACTGCACCTATACTTGATGGCCCGGCCTCATCGACCACACTCATCTCCTGCCCTGGTGTTCTTTCGGCCACTGCGGCCGGGCATGCCTTCGCTCGATGTGAGTTTAAAGTCCGTAGAGGCATGAAAGGCCTGCCATAGTCACACACCCTTGGAGCACTGTCCATTTTGTAATAGCGTTTTCCTCTTTCGCCTCTTTCAAAACCTGGGTCGCCAATTCTTTCATATATGACAGACGCCCTTTCGTCGTGAAGTTATCGGCTTACACCCCTCACCCTAGGACACCGCTTTCTGTGCATGCAGTGCATTCAAAAAACAAACAGAGTGGTGTAGACAGTGTTTTCATTAGCATTTTTGTACATTGTTTCTGGTCGTTTTGATAGTAAGTAGCAAAGCATATTTTGTTGTCTCGTCTCAATGTTGCACATCCTCTTCTGTGTGAGAGACAGAAACAGAGGGAGTGCTGAGTGCCGTTTTCGGTATAAATGGTCTGTGTGTGATGACAATTGAGAAAGATTACTAGTCAACCGTGTGACACAATAATTTATATGTCATGACATCAATGGTCGTGTAGTCAAAGGCAACGTTTGACAAACAGGTATAGGATACATAACAAATCATTCATCATCACTTTTGCGCGGCTGCCACGTGGCCAGGTAGTGATCCATGACGTTTGTGTATGTGTCATGTGTCTTCCATCTGCATAGGAAAATGATTGCAACTGCAGCACCCTAGGCGACCTCCGCAAGCACTTCCAATATTTTTCACTCCCCAATAAATTAGTATTAAAATGATAAACAATGCAAGAAATGCACAACATATACACGTTGGTGATCATAGGGGGTAAGATGTGTCTCATTTACTATGAAAGGCAATAAATATCGTAAAACTCTAAAAATGATTCAAATCTTTTTAAATTCAGTGTGTGCACGCAGTACTGAACCGCATGTTCTTGGAGACGCAAAGAGCAGCGAACATGACACACAACACGCAAACAAATATACAGGTTGTAATATATTTAGAACTCAACTTACATAAGAGAGAGAGAGAGAGAGAGAGAGAGAGAGAGAGAGAGAGAGAGAGAGAGAGAGAGAGAGAGAGAGAGAGAGAGACACTACTGCGGGCCAGAACGACAACAAACAGCACCGGTGGACACGGATACACCACGCAGTAGTGAACCCGACCGTAGTTGAAATTGAAGACTGACATACATGATACAGAGACATAGACGGATGTACAGTTTGAGTTTCCCATGCGCATCAAAACGTATGTGCAATGATTATTTATGCTACTACTATACTGCTCTATGCTCTGCATGTCTGTCCTCATCCCTGCAGTCCTTGAGGGTCTGTCGTGGTGTGTGGGTGTGTCTGTGTGTCATGCCGTGGCCGGGTACTAACTATTGCGTCTCCTGTTGACAAGCCGGGATGGAATGTCTCTCCACACGCAATCGCCAGTGCGTCATGGATGAGGCAACTGAGGTTGACTCCCCATGTCAGTGATGTTGCTAGCACAGCCTTTCTGTTCACCAGAACAAACCATCCCTTGCCAAGACGTGACCACTTTTTCCCCCTGGTACATGATTTCATAATGCTGGTCACTGCGGCATACTGCAGCGCGACATCAGGTATTGCCCCTTTCATCACAACACGCAACACTTTTTGCGGATCGGGAAAAGCACGTGCCAACCTCAGAATTGCATGTGCCCACTCTTTTGTCACCTGTTCACCCGCCCCCTTCAAATCATAGTACACATCACGTTCCTCTCCTTTCTCGTCGCTGCTGACATCGCTGACACTCACTTCCACGTCAGAAGATGATGCCCCGTCATCCTCTTCTTCATCTTTTTCTTTTGCATTTCCTGTATACTCTGCAATACAACTTGGTAACTGGGGCTCGTGGAATCCACGGTCACGCTGTTGTTCAGCCATTGTCAAACCATTCAACATACCTTCTTCCTCCATCTCCTATGTCGTTGTTGTCTGCACGGGAGATACAGCGAATGACATACTGTTCATTGTTTCCTGTGCCGCTGATGTCCGTCCGTTGTATGGAACGATTGCAAGATTTGTTTCCCTGGTCATCAACTTTCACCCTTCTTCTCTTTTTCTTTGTCTCTCAACATCGAAACCGGCATGACCGAGCTGCTCCAAAGCAGCATATAATATACCTTCCCACAACGGTGTGCCACATATCATATTGTCTTCCTTTCTTATCGGCATATATTCAATTAGCTCTTCACCCTGCAGTGCCAACTTTGTGACTTCATGCAAAGCCTCATGGATGACGTTCCTGTCCTCGGGACTCTTTTGCATTAAGTCCACAAGTTGATCCAACAGAACATATGTGACACCATCTGCGACTATGACAGGAATATCTTGAAAGTCGAATGGAGGTGTTTGGGTTATGTCCTTCATCCTGGACAACACCAAAATTTTCGCTGCACCGGTCTTCAACTCGTCCTTCGACCCATCAACAACCATCTCCGAATTCTTAGCGGAAGTGCCCAGCACCTTCTTGAAATCCATAGGTGTATATCTCCCCCCTTTCTGCACCATTGTCATGTCCATGTCCCCTTCTTCGCACATCCCTTCGCTGCACATCCACTGAACTACTCCTTTCAGATTATATGCACTGTCTTCCACGTCGCTATCCACACGTAAATGTGGTGACTCTCTGAAGCGTTGCAACATTGTTTGTGCTTTGACACACCCCTCGTCGTTTGCCATCATCGTGGATCTCATATCCACACTGACAATGAAGCACCTCGGCAGCTTGTCCTCAAGCAAAGACAACTCGCTGTCATTGTCGTAGTGAACGCCCTCCTTTGCATACTTCATCACCTCTGCAAGAGCAGCCTGCACCTGCGCTACTGACATAGGTATGATGTGTATGGTTCCTCTTTCCTTCTCTTCTCTCTACCAACGGAAACGCACAATGACGTCAACGACTCTCTCTCATTGATTCTCTGTCAGTGTGTGTGTAACTGTGTATGTGTGAGTGTCTGTGCATGTGTCTGCGTATCTGTTACTAAGTTGGCTACTGCGTGTCATTTGAAGTCGCAACGAAACTGTGTGGTCTGTGTCTGGCACGCAGTAGCCAACCCGAAGGAGGTTGTGTGGCTGTGTGGCTATGCGTGTGTACTCGTCCTGTGTATGTGTATTTGTGCATGTGTGTCTGTGCATGTGTATCTGTGCATGTGTATTTGTGTATGTGTACTCGCCCTTTTGGTCTGTTTGTGTGTGTGTGTATGTGTATCTGTGAGGCTGTGTGTCAATGCATGTGTATTTGTGTATGTGTGTCTGTGCATGTGTACTCGCCCTGTTGGTCTGTGTGTGTGTGTGTGTGTGTGTGTGTGTCTATGTGTATCTGTGAGGCTGTGTATCTGTGTGTGTATGTGTTATAAGCTCCCCCACAACAACCCCTATTTGAACCACACGAGTAGAACGAGATTGAGTTTGTCATGACTGTGAGGTAGGGGGAAGCAGAGTGCACGAGTAGGAGAGAAATATCTGAAGGGCAAAAAGTATGACTTGCAAAGGGCAGGAGGAGGAGGAAGAAGGGGACTAGGGAGGAAAATGGCGTGATACCTATCTGGTTATGGTGGAGACCAATTTCATCACCTTGTTAAGCGCTGCATCTGGAAGGCCCCCATTGGAAGCTCGAGGGAGCGTCAGGCATGGTGGATCAGTCATCAACGACTTAGCTGCTTTGTGTTGTCCGTTGGACAGGAAGGGGGGCAGCTACATAGCTGCTTTGTGTTGTCCGGTGTACATCAGGGCAACGACGTACTGGCCCGCCATAGCCTACGCATGCGAGAGGAGGAAGAAGAATGGTGGCTATGGCTATGGTGGACCTCATCTTCTGCCTGTAGTACATGTGGGATTCGGGACTTTGATTCTGGTTCAGCCATTCAACAGACCAGACGGACAGACAGAAAGACCAGACAGACCAGACAGATAGACAGACAGACCAGACCAGACCATACCAGACAGACAAGACCAGACCGACAATACCAGATACACAAGACCAGACCATACAGACAGATAGACCGGAACAGACAGACAGACCAGACAGACAGAAAGAGAGACAGACAAACAGACAGACAGACAGACAGACAGATAGACAGACAGACAGACAAACAAACATACAGACAGAAGAAGAAGAAGAAAGAAAGAAAGAAAGAAAGAAAAATGAAAAAAAGAAAGGAAGAAAGAAAGAAGAAGAAGAAGAAGAAGAAGAAGAAAGAGAGACAGACCAGACAGACGGACCAGACACATAGACAGACCAGACACACAGACAGACCAGACAGACAGACAGACCACACATACAGACAGACAAACAGACCAGACAGACAGACCAGACCAGACAGACAGACATACCAGACAGACTAGACAGACCAGACAGATAACCAGACAGAGAGACTGACAGACGGGGCGAAACACAGACAGACAGACCAGACACACAGACCAGACACAGACATACCAGTAGGGCGAAACACAGACAGACAGACCAGACAGAACGGCAGGGCGAGACACAGACAGACAGACAAGATAGACCAGACAGACAGACCAAACAGACAGACAGACAGACAGACAGACAGACAGACAGACAGACCAAACAGACTAGACAGACCGACAGACCAGACAGACAGACAAACAGACAGACAGACCAAGAGACAGACAAAGCAGACAGACAGACTAGACCAGACAGACATACCAGACGAGACAGACAGACGAGACGAGACAGACAGACAAGACAGAGCAGACAGACAGACAGACAGACCACAGAGATAGACAGGCCACACAGACAGACAGACAGACCGGACAGATAGACAGACAGACCAGACAGATCAGACAGACCAGACAGACCGACACACCATACAGACAGACAAACAGACAGACAGACCGACAGTTAGACAGACCAGACAGACAGACCAGACCAGACAGATAGACTTGACAAGACGGACAGACCAGACAGAGCAGACAGACAGAGCAGACAGACAGACAGACAGACAGACAGACAGACAGACAGACAGACAGACAGACAGACAGACCACACAGACAGACCACACAGACAGACAGACAGACCAGACAGACCAGACAGAGCAGACAGAGCATACATAGCAGACAGATAGACAAACAGACAGACAAACCGATACACAGACAGACCAGATAGACAAACCAGACCACACAGACAGACAGACAAACAGACCAGATAGACAGACCAGACAGACCAGACAGACAGACCAGACAGACAAACATATTCGGACTTTGATTCTGGTTCACCCATTCGACATTATTATTATTATTTCTGGTTTGAATAAGAGGGCAGAGAATAAGGAGGAGGAGGTTGACTGGCGAAGAAGAACATTTTTCTCATTGCTGTATGCTGGTGTATATCATCTTCTTCTTCTTTCTTTCTTCTTCTTCTTCTTCTTTCGCTCTCTCTCGTCTCAAGTTCATTCATATTTTTTTTTGCAATTGGACGACATTGAACTTTCTGCTGAGTATATACTTCGAAATTGGTCAACATTGTATCACTAAACAAAGAGATAGAGAGAGGGTGGGAGAGAGAGAAGCGCGTGCAGACGTGGAAGAGGGAGAAGAGGGCTCGAAGCTAACAAACGAAACGTACAAATTACAGGTCACGGGATGAAGTCCCGCAATGGTCAAACCAAGGAAACAGCAAACACACTTAGTGTACAGTTCCATAGGAATACTGCGATGGCCTGCGTAAAAGTCGAAATACTGCAACAGGGAAGCAACGCGACCTCCACCAAGCCCGTGAGAAGAAAAACAACGAAAAGAACCCCAAATTCGTCGGCCTCTGCGTACTTGTATCGAACTTCCCTAGACCTACAACACAACACGCACTTACAGACCTTCACAACCGTCCAAACGGCAAATATGTATGACCCAACAGTAAAGATCTACCTACATGCATATATATGGAAACCTACAGTAAGGGGACCCAAGGCTACGACACACGTAAGATAGACCTGCGGGCGCCTACCAATTTTCAGAAGGGCAAAAACTGGACAAAACAACAAGGCTGAAAGACCTAAGACTACGAAGTAGAGAACACTGGCAACAGGTTCAAGGTTCGAGCACAATGAAAGTCGGAATAATTGGAAAGAAAGAAAGATAGAAAAAAAGAAAGAAAGAAAAGAAA